AATCCTTTATTGACACAAAAGGGATTCCTACCAAGTCATCACGATTTTTGTACAGTCCAGATAAAATGTTGGTATCCTAAGCACCAAAAGAAAATCCAACCAATAGCCTATGAGGTACTTTTTTGGAGTTCTTGATGCTGCTGTTGTGAATGCTTTTGATTTACAAACTGAATGTAGATACACCTGTTTCGAGATCTCGAAATTTTTAAAGAACTTATCACTCGCCTTATCGGCTACTCACATGGAGCAAAGAATTCAAAATTCGAGAATTCCAGTTGCCCTAAAGACGCAAATATCTATATTGCTGGATAAAGATGTCCATTCTACTACAAATATAGCTGCTGACGCTCAACAAGGAAGCTCAAAAAGACCAGTATTGTGTGCCTTCTGTGATCGGAGAAAGAGAATGAGAGGAAATTACAGTTGTGGCCCTTGTAATAAAAGTGTGTGTGGTGAGCACAAACGAATGTTTGCCCCCAGCATTATAATTAATTAATAAAAATTTTGTATTTTTTTATTTTGTTTAACCGTTTCTGTTGTTTTTTGTTCCATTTTATAACTTGGAATATGAAGAATTGTATTACATTTGTTTAATCGTTTATGTACTTCTAATGTTTTTATAAATTTTTTTATATATAAAATAAACATATTTTTCACTAAAATCTATTATAAGTTTGGTTATTTAGTTTACAATTGTCTGTTTTGTACATTAAAGTAAGTTTTCGATATAAAATAGCGGTAAAATTAGAATGATGTATCCGACGTCACGGTACTATATAATATGTCCCAATCATCACCGTGTGGTTCTAGGGTTAAGAATGGTAGCTTTTCGGCAAACCGACATATGTGACAAACGCACACTAACAAGTATGTATAAATAAAAGTAATATTTCCTTTTTTTTTTAAGATATTTTTATTATATGTGAATAGTGTATACAAAATTGTAAAAAATATATAACAAATAAATTGGACGGAGAGATATATAATACACTTGTCTAAGTAGATACAAGAAATTTTGATTTAGAACTACTATTTTTTATAAATATAGTATTATAACAGATTTAAAATCAGATCTTTTATAAAGAATATCGGTAGAGGAGCTATACATAAATAAAAATTTTGTTGTATATTCTAGTAATCGATAGAACAAATTAAATCTTATATAATTAAACTGCAGCGTAAAAAAACACTTCTTCGTTTAGTGCCTACTGTAAAAATGTTTATATATTGAAATAAAAAAGTTGTATGAAAGGGTGATAAGTCGTAATTCTAATATGCTTTATGTATATGCCATCTTTACTATGCTATAAGTTATTTAAACAACTACACTTGGTAATATAGATATGACAAAATAATATAACCATCAAGTACGATTGTCCCACTTCTAAACCCAAAAATATAACAATTAAAACAATAAATTTTCAAACCCTATGGTAACTAAATTTCTGAATTGGTCGTGGGTACAGGAAACAAGACGGCATGGTGCTAACGACATTAAAATAAAGTACTAGTGGTAGTAGTACAGATGAGTCGGCTCATACTTATACTATAATTTCTATTGTCTACAGGAAGTTAATTTTCACAAGGAAAATTAACTTCCTGTGATCTACTGTATACGATGAATCACATTTTTTTTTTGTTTAACAAATCCTTTATAAAAAAGGTATATTTATTTAAAAGTATCCTTTGAGGCTACATCACAGAACGTTTTCGAACTGGCAAGTCCATCATCAGTGCTGTTAGAAGATATACATAAGGTGTTTACCCACAATATAAAAACCCTTTAAATATTATTACTAATGTTATATATTACATTGTTGCTGAAAAATTTAGATAATGTTAAAATTTTAAACTTTAGTCTTACTTGCCATGAAGTAAATCTGTTTAAAACTTTAACATCATATAGATGTATCAGCAACGATGTAATATAAAAACAAATTTAATATCATTTAAGAGGTTTTACCCACATATTTAGGGGCTTCACTCATGTATACCTGGTAACAGCACTGATGATGAACTTTTCAGTCCGAAAACGGATCTTTTTAAATAAATATACCCTTTTATAAAGGATGTTTTAAATAAAAAAGTTTTAATAAAACTTTCTTATGACAGAAATTTGTTCATTGACTGAATTTATTTGAAATTACAAACTTTCGCTGTACAATGGAAACATTGACTCTTTATTTAACATGATATGTATTTTTATATGTATTAGTTTGGTTTTGGGTCTATGGTCGGATTAAGATATTCTTGTTCCTGTTGTACTTTCCTTGCTGTGCAATAAAAAAAATATTTAGAATCCTCAGTCGGTTTAGATGTTATTGAGTTTTCGTTCAATTCTGAAATAAATATTTTTATTTCAAAATTTCTTGAAAACGATTTCTAGATTGGAAATCGAAACGTCAAGACAAATGTAACCTAATTCCCATTAAACTAATTGTGGTTTAGTCCCATATATATATATATATATATATATATATATATATATATATATATATATATATATATATATACATATATATATATATATACTATATATATATATATATTATATCATATATATATATATATATACATATATATATATATATATATATATATATATATATATATATAATTCAGTATACATATAAAATCATGTATGGATCCGAACATGGGCAATTGGAAACTAGCAGTCTTAGAAATGTGGAGCTACCGGCGTATGCTGCGAATTTCGTCAAGTCACAGTCCTAAACACGTTCTCACACCAACTAAACAAACAAAAATCATAATTCATACACTCTATTTAAAACAGCAAATTCGAATACTTCGGATGTAGGCTATGTAATATGATATGCCTCAGCTTATTATGCAGCACAATAGCATTTTGTAGCAAGGCAACAATAAATTATCTCTACCTACCTTCAAAGAAAAGCTACAATAAAAATCTTTGGAGTGGTTTATGAAAACGGAACATACACAAGTTCGATGAAAAAGATATTACTATAAGCAAACAAAGCCGTCTTTCATTATACGAGCATTAGAATCAAATATGAGAAGAAGAACAACTGTGCACCCGGTAGATACGAGAAAACGGTGTTGAAAACCGAAGCTCAGTTGGATGCACAGAGTGAAGGAAAATGCCGGAAAACTCGGTGCTCTTAACTGGAAGGACTAACACCGGGCTCACTGATGGTGGTCATGTATTTTTTAACAAAGCTACCATCAAGATATTTAAACTTTTTATATAGCTGTATTCAAGTTTTAAATCACTATATTATATCTAAGTTTACTATTTATATTGGGAATAAGCCACAACTTTACTCTAAATAAATCTATTGTGACGTTTCGATTTCTACTTCGGAAATCGTTCTTCAAATGCAAAACATTAATAAATTAAACAAATTTTGTTTGTGTTACTTGTTAAAAAAATTCATCTAATAATTTCATTTTATCTGACTCATTCATATTGTCAATATGTTTTATTTGTTTTCCTGGGGCAACTTTATTACAAGATATTTCATTTGATTACATGAAATCAACTTTAACTTAAAAATACCCCTCAGAAAAATCACAGCATGTGATTTGTCTTTAAAAAGACAACCACATGCAATGATGACATTAAAGTTAAAAACAGGAAACAACCTCGAGACACATCGCGCCATGGTAATTATTTGGTCTTGAGATTACTCTCAATAAACACCAAATTCTGATTTGATTTACTAATAGTGTCTATTATTAATAACTATTACCACTATTTGTAAGTCAATAAATAAAAATAAAAAACAAAATTTGTTTAGTTTAATAATAAAATTGTGACTTTTTCCTAATAAAATAGTAAATTATATTAAAATGCCACACAAAAATAGCTTCAGAACAATACATGTCTATCTAAATTGTTATATTTGTTCAGATTAGTAAATAAGTTATTATTATTTAATTTGACAATATCACTTTAATGTATTAAGGTATTTAATAATAAACACATTTAATACGTCATTATTAGACTATTTATTGCATTAGCCTACTTTCCATTTACTTCGTTTACAACATATAGCTGCCTATTTATTGTTTAATTTGAGTGATAATCCTTATATCATAAAAAGAAAATTTATTATTAAATATCTTAATAGAAGATGTCACTTTCTAAATAAAATGGCCAAAAGAAGTGTGCAACGTTTAAATAAATATTGTCCTTGTTTATTGCACATATGTTTTATATATTATATGTTTTATATATAGCATATGTTTATATGTTATGTAAAAAGTGATATTTTCTTACTAACAAAACAATATAAACGGAAAATTTAGTACTAAAACAGACTAAAGGTGCTTTAAAATTACAAACTTATTTGTAAAATATATTACAAAATGATTACGCATACATAAAAATAAATAACCTATAGAAAGTTCTCTTTAAGACCGTTGGTTAAAAAAGTTACACTAAATGAAGTAAAGAAAGAAATTTATGTTTTATTACACATATTAAAATTGCTTCAATATCACTCTACTTTGAAAGTTCTTAAAGAACACTGCAGAAGTATACAAGGTCTCTGGAGTGTCCATTTAAATCTGTTTTGTGGCAAAAATCATTTTTGTGTTGAAATATATGTAAACGTTAGTAATAAGCTATAAAATTGTGTATATTCATTGCAAACTTCCTTTTTCCAAAACGTTTTAACTATTTACTCCTATAAAAAATTATGGTAATCAAAAGGCACTTCATAATATTTTTAAGCTGGTCTCAAATTTGACTAAATGATCAACAAAAATAATATCTTATAAAAAACTATAATACCTTTACAGTACAGTACTTTGTTCATTACTTCATATAATAAGTTCTCACTTATTTGAGATTCTAACAAAAAAGTCTAAAATATACTCAATATATGTATATAAAAAAATAAATTTATAAAAAAATGTTAGAAAAGAGGGAAAAGTGTAATTTTTTAACATGGATATTCATCATAATTATTAAAAAACAAGATACCAAATAAACAAATAAGCATTACATTTTTCGCTAACACAGAAAATATACCACACAAAAATTGCAAATGTGAATTTATAAGATAGATTAATTACTGGATGGAGGGAAGTAATTTTGGACACTATTATAAAAATCAATAGTTTTGAGGAAATTTCGCATTTTAAATCCAAAAGGTACATTTTTGAAAAAAATTAAGTCAAGTAGAATGCAAAATGAAGTTTTAAAAAAAATGAAGTCAAGTTGAGGAGTAGTATTATAGTAATGACTATTTAGGGAAAAAATTATAATAAACCAAACCACTCAATCCTTCTGACATGACGCAATAAGTTCTGCTCAATGAGGAAGCTCTAATAAATATTATAACTAATGACACACTAACAAATCGACCAATTGATGTGTGTACATCAGATGTCAAAAGTCGTAACTCACATTTTTATAAATCCAATTTTAACCAAGAGGTTAATATGATGCTAAAACTAAATTCAAATGACTTTTAACCTCGGGGTATTATCCTAGGGGTTAAGTCAAAGGTAGTTTAATTTAGTAATGTTAATATACAACATGCATTTGAAAAATGATGCATTTAATGAGACATAAAAGATCCATATCACTCACTTGAAATTTGAACTGCAAAAAGAAAAAAGAAGAGATTTAAGTTTCAATTATTCACACATAATGTGAAAGTTGATTTTAATTAATTTCTAAATAGATGACAAAAATATTTTAAACTTAAAAACAAGAGACTTCAGTAAAAAATGTTAATATGAATAGACTATACACTAGATTATTGATATGTAGGACAGGAGAACCTATGGAAATACCTAGAGATTTGTAATAGTGAAGTACCTTTTGGATAATTTATTAATGAAATTTAAGATATATTTATGTAGCAGTTATGTGTATACTTCGAGTTCTTATTGGAAAACCAGATGTTACACTTATTTCAATCATATTTGATTTTTAATTATTATTATCTAGAAATACCATGCCATTTAGTATATGTCACACCTATTGTATGCATACAATATGAAATTCAAAAAACCTAATACACATTAATTTCCCTGTTTTCTAACCAAAATGCATTACATTAAATCAACAAATATATTGATTTAATGTGAATATGTTGGAACATTCCATCCCAATCTGTGTTGTGGATTCGGTTGCATTTGCATAATCAGATTTTTCGATTCTCTTCGTCTTTCATAACTAAATTTTGACTCTTTGTACATATAGTAAGCTGCTACAGCATGGAACAATAGGGAAACGCATGCCATGCCATATGACCAACAAAGGTAATTGAAATTGGGATACATCAGCCAATCTCTACGAACATATGAACCTCCAAAAATAACAACAGCAAGAAACATGAAGCCAGCTAAAAAGATATAAAATATGAGAAAAATGTATAATTGTTTAGGTTTTTATTATATGACTTTAATTATAAAACTACAGTGTCATAGACCATCTAACTAATAATAATTTCCCTTAAGATTCTTCTTATTATGCCTCTCCATTACTCAAGACAGCTATATTATCTCTGATACTAGCTAACATATTCTTTATTCTTTTCCTTTTTATAATTAGTTTGATACATAAATATGTATCAGATTTGTTTATTTAGTCTTAAATGTTACTAGTCTTAAAAAGGACTAGTTATTGTTATCATAGATGTCCCTTTTATATGTATTTCATCAATAGTATATACCAGTGCCTTTCGTAAAATGTGTTATAACAACAAAAATGGGAGTTTAGGCATGGTACAGTACAAGTTCTTAATAAAGTATATCTACAGTGTGCTAAATATAATTTTATATGATAGTGCTTGACACAGCTAAGTCTCCTTGTTAAATCTATCACTTCAAATGTAGTATAAATTTCAGTGATATGTCCCAATAATTGCAATTCAAATTAGATGTTTTGGATGTATCAACTTCCAGTCTGGAAAAGATTCTTAAAAAATGTTAAATATAAACGAGATAAAAATGATATAACATGTACATATTATTCTTGTCAATTGAATTTATAGTTGTTTACTACTTGTACAAGCAACTTTATTTAATTTACTTGTGGTCAATTTTACTTTACCAATTTTTATGGTAGATCTGATACTATCCAATATACAGGATAAAAGGCTTAAAAACTGCTTCAAAAATATAAAAATTAATATTTTGTTCTAAAATGTTTCCTGAACTTTCCACTTTTTTAGTTGACGCATATTCAAATTTTAGTTATGAATAATTTTAAAATGTTCAGACCTATGTGGTCCACTCTTATATGCAAATAATTAAAGAGTAATATCTCAAAGTACAGAGATATATAGACATTTAACAATTCAATATTTTATGTGTTTGGTATAGAATTTTGTTAGATACTTACTTACAGTTGTGACACAAACAAAATTAATAAATGACAATATGTATTCCCTTTGTAAAATAAAATGCAGAGGCCACCTTGTTAATTGAAGAGCCATAACAACTTGTGCTCCAAAACTTAATAGAAAGGACATGGTAACAAAAGCTTGAACTGTCATTAACCATCCAGGTAGCAACCATTCTCGAATAACATAAAATTCTTGACTAAACACATGGTGACAGCCATCAAAGAGGTGGTCAAATTGGTAGTATGGATAGCGGAAACCATCAAAGCAATATTCCCATAGTCCCATGTGCTTGAACTCTGAGAAAGTATCATCATAGGATTTTACCCAGTATGGACTAAAAAAATAGTATATTTAAAAACTAATTAAGAGTAATATTTTTTGTAAATTTTGATATATTCAATAATGATGATTATGCCAATCACTTGTAGTTGGAAGTCATGGTCTAATCTCAAGAATCTTATAAAACTTCGATATTATGTTTGCAACCAATATTTCTCATCTCAGTATAAAGCCTAGTAAAAAAGTTTCGTTTTGACAAGCTCACTTTGCCCTAAAATAGTTCGTCCTCATATCTGACCCACTTGCAAATTCATTCGAAAAACAGGTATTAATGTTTACTAAGAAGTAGGTCAGTAAGGTTTATTGTTTTTAGAACTATTATTTAAATCGTAATAAATCTTTCAGTTTTATTGTTCTATATTATGCATTTTCTTTATGAATATATGAAAAAAAAAATGGTTTATTTCTGAAATTATAACCCACTGTATGAAAATATGTTTAAGTTAATTACAGCCATTAAAGACATTGGCAGCTTTGCTTTCCTATAAATTATTGTATTGGAGTGGCATTTCAGCATGTGTATAATCACATCTCAACCCGGACATTCTCTCGCCAACACCACAGTGTGATTTCAATCATTTCGTAACATACTTGTACTATGTAAAATTCTCTTGGTATATAGCAGAAAAATACGAACAAAGTTAAGTTTAGTGAAATATATTTTGTAACAAAGTAGTTTTGTGATAGTACAACATAAAATAAAGTGCCTTTAAACTCAGCAAACATTTTTTATTACCAATTTGATTTAGAAATTGTTTCAATGAAGGATTTTTTAATCCAAGTCTTCATACTTAGCCAGTTCCAACATCTGGCTCGTTACTGATATTGTAGAAAGGAGAAAAATAACAACACAAACCATTTCAATATGTATTATAAACAAAGGACTTTTATTTTCAATTTTAACATTTCAACATGTATTAACTGGTAGCTATTTAATTTAATAATTACGTAGGTGTAAATTATCATTTTTCAATAAACTTTTGTTTGTAGGAATATGTAATTCATTTTTTAACTTCTGCTCTTTATTTTTTAATATTGTTTAAATAGTAATATCAATAGTGATAGTATCATGGTTTGACATTAAACTATATAATAATATACAACACAGTGTAAAAAATCATTATCTAAGAATCAAATTAGCTGCATATCATTAAGCTGTTTATACAGTTGGTTTGCTATTCCCAGTGCGAACTGTCTAGTGAATTTAGTAATTATTTTTATGCGAAGTTAGTTACTTTTTGACAGACTAAAAGTGGCTGGAAATTACTATACAACCAAGCACACATACATATAGCCAATATTAATAGTAAACAAACTAAATAGAAAACAAAATAGAACTTTGCCAATTACAGACAATCAATATTTATTTATCTGTACCATATAATAAATAGTTATGTTAAATTATAACAACTAAAATATATTTTTTAAATATATACTACCCAAAATTTGATGGGTTTAGTATGCACTTCCACTATTTACAATAATTCTTCTTTTTTCAAAGAAAGAAGTCTGCAATAGTAGTATACTTAAGCTATTAATACTGAGAAGTAGGAATTGTTGTGCTGTAGGTTTCCGACAATGAGTCTGTCAAAATATGCCTGAGCTAAGCGAATGGAGTATATCAGTAGTATAAAGGTAGAAATAATTAGGATTGTAGCCAGATCTCCAAACTCCAAAGAATGTAGAAGGCACAATAACAATATAAGACATAAACACTGAAATTTAATAATTTGTCAAAAGACGCAGAATATACTTAAATAGAAAATAATCTAAAACTATACCAAATGATCTAAATGAAAAAGTGAGGATCTGAGAAAATAATATAAAATATACAAAACCCTAGAAACATATCAGAAAAGAAATGGACCCAAAAAAATATGTATCTATTTATACAAAAATATTCTCTCTAATGTACATTTTTTAAATCACTTACCTACAAAATGCAATCATAAGGAAAACTCCTCCAATGTATGTCATGAGGGATCCATTTACCAAATAATCTGAAAAAAAGGTTTTATTTCTATGGAAATAATCAATAATATAAAGCGATCGTTTTGTAGGTCAATTGCAAGTTATGTGTTTCGATATAATTAGATATTTCACTGGAATGTGTGGTTTGCTTATAATTGGTTAACAGGTGCTACAAATTCTACAATGTTTTATTTAATAATTATGAAACAATACTACTTACTGGAGGCTTTTGGATAATTATTCTTTTCTTCTTCCCTCATTATGAGATACTTCAAGAAAAATTTTTATAATGTATTTAAGTTTTTACACATAAATTAGAAATTACTCACTATCCACACCCTTTTTGTTTATTTTGACAAACTTAAATTGACATGAATTGACATTGACACTCGTAGTTGTCTGCAAGTGACAGTTAGAGGAAAACAAGCTGTCAGAACAAACTTCTTTTTAAAATAAGGTGTCTTGACTAAAACTCGTTGCAATCCATAGTTGAAGCACAGAATAAGCTGTGATTGAAGAATACGTGTCAATTATTTTTTTTATTTCAAAAATATCTGACAATATTGATAAGGTGGAAATTATTTTTGTTTACGTTTTATGAAATATTATTATCCAAAGTTGAGTTACGCAACTGTCGATGTCGATAGATACCTCTTAGGCAAAAATTCACTCATCCCAGCAGAATGCCCATATGCCGCCTTTGAAGTTTGTCAGCACGCGAATGCCATGTTTGAGACGGAAACATAGACTCGAATTGAAACATTTGTAACAAGCTACGACAAAACTGTAATTTAAATTTTTAGAGATTAATAATTTAGTACATTTGAAATAATTTAATCTATTCTTCATCTAAAAGTACGAATAAAATAGTACATGTTATGTATGTAGTTGTTGTAAATAAATTAAATCGGGTTAATTTGTCTATGCGCACCAGATAAAATGTCACTGAATAGCACTGGTTCCGTTTAAAACATGGCTGATTCCGTCTGCGCGAACGAGATGCGCCTACTCATTTTTTTTAAGCAGTGTGGGCATTCTAATTGTTTATTATTCTGCGTCTCTACCACATGTTTTAGTCCATATATAAATAATATTTGGTCGGAACCAGTGCTGTTAAGTGACATTTTATCTGGTGTGCATAGGCAAATTAACCCCGTTTAATTTATTTACGGCAACTACAGACATAATATTTATGCACTATTTTATTCGTACTTTTAGTTAAAGAATATTTTAAATTATTTCAAATGTACGAAATTATTAATCCCTAAAAATTTAAATTACAGTTCTGTCGTAGCTTGTCACAAATTATTTAATTCGAGTCTATGTTTCGAGTCTATGATTGTTATTTATTCTGTGTCTCTACGATATTAAAAGGGTTGAGTTCTGGAAAAGCTCTATGGTGCTTATTATTTGATGTTTTCCAAAAGCTCTTTGGAACTATATCAGTAGTTGAGAGGATAACAGATATTGGCTGGGTACTTCTCATCCTCCATTGTCTTTTTATTTGTATCTCAAAGTTTATATACTGATAAAGTAGGTATTTAGTACGTAGATTAACTTATTTTCAAACAAGGGGTCTTTGAACTATCAAATAGTCCGTGGGTCTTGTAGTGTAGTCCTAATCATAAAGAAGGATGACCATGACAGGTTTTCGTTGGTTCTCAATGAGAAGTGACATAAAAGGTGAACATGGTAAGTAAGAATCGGAAGAAAACTGTATTTTCAATAGGGTGAACTTTTAGCAATTTTTGATTATGCCTTTTGATCTACATATTGCTGTCGTTACAATTAAGTGTACACCTACATTGGAATCGTATTTCTTCCGATCCAATATCGGGCGACGTTGGCCGACGTCGGATTGAAAACAAACTCAAGGTATTAAATCATAGCGCCTATACTGCTTCGTCATGGACGACGTCGGATTGAAAACAAACTCAAGGTATTAAGCCATAGTGCCTATACTGCTTCGTCATGGAAGCGACGTCGCCCGATATCGGATCGGGAGAAATACGGTTCCAATTTAGGTGTACCTACACTAAGAGGCTAATAGAGGTAAACATGAGACTGGATGCTTTCTCGACTTACTTATGTAGGTACATATTTTACCTACTATCGTCCAAAGGGCTTGCCAATATGGCTAAAGAATTAAAGTTAACCGAAGAGGTTATATAGACAGCAGAAGGGGTCCAGGGAGGAGAAGACACTCGTGGCTCCAAAACTTGCGGCAATGGTTCGGATTGTCATCTGCTGAACTATTCAGATCTGCCGTAAACAAAGTCAGAATAGCCATGTTGATTGCCAACGTTCTGAACGGACAAGGCACATGAAGAAGAAGAAGAAGAGGTTAAACAATATAGGGAAGTATATAATACTATAAAATACTATAAAATGCTTTTGAAGAACTGTAAACAGCTTTTATCGGTGTATCTATTATAACCAACCCGAAACAAGAAGAAAAATTTGTTCTGGATACGGATGCCATCAAAACTACCATAGGAGCTGTTCTATCCAAAATTCAAGATGGAAAAGTAGCAAAGTCTTGTCGAAACCAGAAAAAAATACAGAGTTACCAGAAGAGAATTTCTAGGTGTGGCGCAGGTTGTGAATATTTTCACAAATGCCTCTATGGTCGACAGTTCCTTCTTAGAACTGATTTTGCAGCTCTGAAGCTTTGGCTGCCTTCTAAAATTTCGTAATACAGAAGATGAAATATGAAGATAATTAAAGTATTGTACATTGTTCTCCTGGTAGTCTCGTTTCACTTAGACCAATGAAATTCCATTTGATCTATTCTTTAAGGTGATTGAGGGTTCTGACATTGAAACTAGCAATATAAAAAAGTTACAAAAAAAGAGGAGAATTCTTATACATAATAATCTATATTCTATTCTATTCTTATAATAATAATCATAATAATCACTCTCGATGTTTGAATTAGTTTTTGCTTCCTCAGATTTCATGAGGCTGGCCTCCTTAGAGGTGTGATAATGAGCACCCAATTATAGGGGCCAGATCCTGTTTTGTTTCAAAACTGATTTAGGGTGTGTCAGCCGTAACTCGTCAGAAAACACGGATTGGCGAAGCGGGAATTTGAGGTTTTAATATAATTTTATATAATAAACAATCAGAATGCCCATTCTGCTTGAAAAAATAAGTACGCGCAAACGGAATCAGCCATGTTTTAAACGGAACCAGTGCTGTTCGGTGACATTTACAGTAGCTTGTTACAAATTTCTCAATTCGAGTCTATGTTTTCGTCTAAAATATGCGTGCTAAAAAACCCCAAAGGCGGCATCTGAGAATGGGCATTCTGATTGTTTCTTAGTCTGTGGTAAGGTAGTCTTCGAACTAATTTTTGTTGTTACAACAATTAACAGCTGCATTGTCTATAAGTCAAATATCGAAAAAAAAAAGATATCAATGCTAACGTTTCGTGAAGCATTACAACTTTCAAATCAAAATGAGTGTATTTATGAAACCAATTTATTAAAACGAAAACATTGTCTGCAATGAGAAGGTTCTGGTAGGACAGATCATGAAAATTAAGGAAGCTGACTAAACTAAACACTTTTGGTAAAAATAATCCGGCTTTGTGCTTAAATTGCTTTTATGATAGATGTATCTATTATATTATTTAATTATTATGTATGTACATTTTAATATTGTTTCAAATAAAAATTGATAATTTTATTTATTTTGTAAAAGTAAAATATTCCAAATTGCCACATTCATATCAGTATATTTTATATATTTATACCGTAATACTTTATTGGACATCGGAGTCTGGTACTATGGTTACCAGAAAAAGGATTGGAATGTAATGCACTTGTGAACGTGTTCTGACCATTCACAGGAGGATGTACTCAATTAAGATTAAAATGGGCAAAAAATTACGTCTTTTCAGTAAAAATAATATTTGGTATTTTCCGAATAATATCTTTGAAATAATACTTTTATTTAAATTTTTTTATAAGTAGATGTGAAAACAAAATTAGTTCTATAAAAATGAAATAAAATAAAAAATTATTCCAACACTACGGCTTAAATTAAAAACAATTCGAACAATTAGAAATTCTAAACCAAATAAAATTTTTAGCGAATTAAATATTCAAACAAACCACCACATTGTGCCAAACAGAAACCGTCTTTCTCATGGCTTTGAATTCAGTTTCTGAGATGTTGTGGCTAAGCTAGATTATTTTTTGTCTCAGCCGCTCCAAGTTGGTGGCTCTCTCGAATTCATTTCTGTACAAATTGGTCTTTAGCATCACTCAAAAATAAAAATCTAGGGGGCCACTTCACTTTACCTTGTGTACTTATCACACATTCGGGAAAAATTTAAGCTAAATAACCTCTAACGGCCTGTGCATTATGTGAAAGACGTTTAAGATTATTTGAAAATGTTTAATTATAGGAATAATTTGATTTCGCAGTAATTACAGATATTTTACAGCGTTTAGATGTCCTTCGATGTAAAAAGGAACAATATGATCTCCCAAAATCCCAACCCAAACATTAAACTTTTGTGGACACTCCGTACGCACACACACAATCAAATGCCTATATTCCTGAGTCCAATAATGTACAACCGATGTATTCTCTGTCTGTCGATGTCTCCATCATAATTTCACAGAATTCCATCGGTTTAAAATGATCACTCGGAAATATTTCTTGAGTGGTCTGCACTTTATAACAATGGTAGTTGTTTCTTTTCAAAATATTTCTCACTGTTTTTCATTCAAGTTAACTTCATCCCTAATTTGTTTACTTAAACACGGCGTCGCTTCCACCAATGCACAGGCCGGTTTCCCTAATTTCTCGTTCTTGACTAATTAATTTTTCAGAGGTTAATCTAATGGACAGCAGATCTGCCATTAGTACAGCCTAACTTTTAAAATTGATGAATAATGGCCAATACAGCTTTTTCTACATCTATTTTCAAATAGCTGTAATAAATATATTAATAGTTTCTTACAGATACGAATGGCCCCCAAAGTACCATTTTATTATTTGTATTTTTTCTGCAGTTATGTAAACAGCCTACATATTGAATCTTTTATTGTTACACGTAGCTACTCCTGAAATAAATAAGAGATTTTACTAGGAAGAGTGTGATTGGATCGGAAATAATCGGTTTTATCGTTCGGCCATGATGGGCGTTCATGCACAATGTGGAAGGGAGATTAGGATAAAGTATGGTTGTGAGCTTTGTCTATACCGATTGTGAAAACATGTGAGTGAAAAAACAAACATCAAATTCATATTATTCTTTTTAGATGAACTGATGATGTTCTCTGACTAGAGAACGAAACGTATTCGAATAAATAGATGAAGTAGCCACCTTCT